CTAAGCCATGCTGTCACTGCCTGTGCTATTGTGGCTACATTATGATTTATAATTGCAATAGCTTGATGAGAGCTAGTGTGAGTATATGTATGTTACCTGGGAACTACACCCCTAGCTTGTAGTGTTGACAGAGGGCACTCTCCCACTGCCTCTTGTGTGGGCAACTAGAGATGTATATGCATGGAAGCATCCTGTCTGCTCAAAGATCTGGAGAGATCTAGGCCTATGTGAAGGGCTGTCAGCAGAAAGGAAATGCTACAAACAAACAAACTATGGAAAGTGCTCATTAAATTTTGAGGTTGGATCTAAGAAGAGCAAATAATTCAGTTAGTTTGGACATTGTCGGGAACAGAGATCCAAAATCTTTCCATAAACCACACAGAACTCCCGGTCTGTGGTGATCTGACTGTGAATGATGCTACCTGCTGTACTGAGTTTAGTGTAGAATAACAGTTGGAGAGCAAGGAAGGATGGGCCTTCATAATTTTTTCCTCCCGGTTGATCTAATTTAATTCCTTGTTCCTAGGAGCATTATTGGGGCTCTCACTTATGCTGAATGGAAGGGACATTGGCAGCGCCTTGGCTGACACTGTGAATAACCATAAATGGGGGATCATTCTCACGATCTGTGGGGTTGTCCTAATGGACTTTAGTGCAGATTCGGCAGACAATCCCAGTCATGCCTACATGATGGATGTGTGTAGCCCAGTGGATCAAGACAGGGGGCTTAACATCCATGCTTTGTTAGCAGGTATGCTCTTTTATTTATTCTTGCATGGTATATAGCCATTTAGCTATGAGCAGACAAGATTAAATATAGAATAGCATGGCACAAATGTGTGTATATACCAGGGGTAGGCAACCTATGGCACGTGAGCTGATTTTCAGTGGCACTCACACTGCCTGGGTCCTGGCCACCCGTCCGGGTGGCTCTGCATTTTAATTTAATTTTAAATGAAGCTTCTTAAATATTTTAAAAAGCTTATTTACTTTACATACAACAATAGTTTAGTTATATATTATAGACTTATGGAAAGACACCTTCTAAAAGTTACTGGCACGTGAAACCTTAAATTAGAGTGAATAAATGAAGACTTGGCATACCACTTCTGAAAGGTTGCCGACCCCTGGTATATACCATAGGTCTTTGAACTGTAAAGATACATACAGCTTTGGGTTGGGGAACTGTCTCTTTTCCTCTACTATAAGCATAACTCAATAGGTAACTTCAGTAATTTAAAAAATAAACAGTGTATAAATTATAGTAAGTTTGTGATATTTTGCCCTTTATCAGTTTGGGTTTTATTGTCAGAGTTTCACAACAAATGTAAAAATAGAAATAAACTAAATTCTTGAGCAGCTCTTCATGAGACCCCCCCTCAAACAGATGTGGTAGCAATAATATTCACAGAGAGAGGAGATGAGAATACTCAGGCAAACATACCATTTTTATTGGCTTTATTGGAGGAGGCAAATCCTGCTGGGTGCCCTAAACCAGCAGACCCTTATTTTCATTGTTAGCTGTCGAACTCTGCAGTCTAGTTTTCCTCTTTCAACAGATTTATAAAACATTCTTCTGCATTGCCCTATATATGTGTGCGATGAAAGAAAGGACATTGGCCTAAGGCTGTCACCACATGAATGGCGCTTGTATAATTTATATATTTTATATAATGTTTGTTTTAAACAGTGTTGCCACTTCAAATGTGTAGCCAGCTCATTATTCAGTAAATTGAGCTAATCTGACTCTGAATACACACAGGGAAAAGCTTCCTATTGAGATGAAGGATCAATTTTAACTTCTCCACTTTTCAGAGGAGAAATGCACTTTAATCCTAGAGCTATTCCATAAGGCAGGTAAGCATCACTGTTGTCATTTTACAGGTGGGGACTCTGACACATACAAAGGTTAAGTGACTTGTCCTAAAATGAGCTGGCAAATCTGGGACTAGAGCTGGCTTCAAGTTCTTTATATCAGTTACTTGTGCAGCATCAACCCCCTTGTCAAGGCTCCTTCCCCACTCTGAACTTTAGGGTACAGATGTGGGGGCCTGCATGAAAACTTCTAAGCTTAACTACCAGCTTAGATCTGGTCCGCTGCCACCACTCCCAATGTGCTAATTCCCTTCCCTGGGTAGCCTTGAGAGACTCTTCACCAATTCCCTGGTGAATACAGACCCTTGGATCTTAAAACAAGGAGAAATTAACCATCCCCCCTCCTTTCTCCCACCAACTCCTGGTGGATCAAGATCCAACCCCCTTGGATCTAAAAACAAGGAAAAATCAATCAGGTTCTTAAAAAGAAGGCTTTTAATTAAAGAAAAAGGTAAAAATCATCTCTGTAAAATCAGGATGGAAAATAACTTTACAGGGTAATCTAACTTAAAGAGCCCAGAGGACCCCCCCTCTAGCCTTAGGTTCAAAGTTACAGCAAACAGAGGTAAACACCCTAGCAAAAGGTACATTTACAAGTTGAGAAAACAAAGATAAAACTAACACGCCTTGCCTGGCTGTACTTACAAGTTTGAAATATGAGAGACTTGTTCAGAAAGATTTGGAGAGCCTGGATTGATGTCTGATCCCTCTTAGTCCCAAGAGCGAACTCCCACCAAAACAAAGAGCCCAAACAAAAGCCTTCCCCCCACCAAGATTTGAAAGTATCTTGTCCCCTTATTGGTCCTTTGGGTCAGGTGTCAGCCAGGTTACCTGAGCTTCTTAACCCTTTACAAGTAAAAGGATTTTTGGAGTCTCTGGCCAGGAGGGATTTTATAGTATTGAACACAGGAGGGCCGTTGCTCTTCCCTTTATAGTTATGACACCCCTTCCCCTCTCTGTGTCATCATTAATGTGCTGTTGGTGTAGGCTATTGTATTGTTTAGTATTGTATTTAAGAGAGATAAATCTTTAAAGTGATTAACTAGGAATTGGGAATGTAGCTCAGAACTCATGATTCAAATGTTGCTGTGTTTCATTGCCTTTTTTCTTTAGGGATTGGCTGGGGAAGGTAATCTTAATCTATTTTCCCCACCAGGTCTTGGAGGTGGCTTTGGTTATGTTGTTGGAGGAATAAATTGGGATAAAATCAGTTTTGGAAGAGCTGTGGGAGGGCAGCTCCGTGTCATCTATGTCTTCACAGCAATAATATTGACTATCACTACTGTCTTGACTCTAATTAGCATTCCAGAAAGACCACTGCAGTCTTTTAGCAAGAAGAAAAAAGTGATGAAGAGTCCAAGTCTTCCTCTTCCTCCTTCTCCACCTCTTTTGTTTGAGGAAGGTGTAAATGAAAATCTCAGTTTTACAAGTCCAATTTCCCCTCTCAGCCCACTCACACCTAAATATGGCAGTTTTAACAGCAGAGACAACTCCTTGACAGGAATTAATGAATTTGCATCATCATTTGGGACCTCAAATATTGACAGCGTACTCATAGACTGCTTCACAGGAGGGTATGATGGCTATTTAGCAATCCCAGCTAGCTTGCCCAGACAGGCAATCAGTGTCAGCTTTCCCAGGGTGCCAGAAGGCTTTTACTGTCAAGAAAATGGAATCCTGGACCAAGGGGAGAATTCTGTAAATCCAGGGCCAGATGGAGATGCACTAAGGGTGGGTTCACTGGATGCAATAAAGCCACGATCAATAGGGATTCTGAAAAGGCCTCAGACCTTGGCCATTCCAGATGTTGTCACAGGATATTGTCCAGAAAGTAGCAAGAGAAGAAACGTAACCTTCAGCCAACAGGTAAGGGGAGAAAATATCTCCAGAAACAATGTCATGACCATGTAATTTGAACATTCATTTAGTCTCTTTAGATAGTTTTACCTTTTATTTTAAAATGCCTAAATATATACTTTTATCATAATGACTGACTTTTTTTGTTTGTCTATGCACACTTGTGATTAAGGGCTCTTTGTAACAGCTTGTTTATGAAAGCTATGATGGGAATACAATATATGAACTCATAATATGAGTCTATCAATAAGAGGGAGAGGATTTTGGGAACAAAAATTAGTAAGAGATTGCAGGAAATTATTTATGATTTGGACTTTCTGCCAGGGAATAATGTGGGCCTTTTCCCACCCCTCAGACAATATAACACAAGGTGCAGAGGCAAATTATCTGCATCAGCATTTCTGAGGTTAATAATGTTAGCCACAATTGTTTCACAGCCCATGAAATGATAACCAAAGTAATGGTGGGTGGGGGTGCGTTTTGCTGTGAGCATCCCCTCATGAAGATTACTACCTATGTTCTCATCAGGGAAAGTGAGATTTTCCAGCTCCTGGGAAAAGGCTGGCCCCAAACCTAGTGGTTTCCTGGGAATCTGCAGGAGGCCAGGGACCTCTATGCTGGTACATAACGGGAGCAGAAATGAGGCAACTGTCCCGTTATGTATGTTTATTTTGCTGTCTTTTGACCCAGTTATACATTTTGTGTTTTGAAACATGTTTAACATAGATATTTTTTGCCATCATATTTCTGTTTTCAGGCTTGTGAATGAGCTCATTTTGTATAGGGAACGCATTCGGCAGCCCTTTGTAAACATGAGCCAACCTCAGCCAAAGATAGCCTGATATTAGCAGGTACAACACCCATGTAAATCTTTTGGCAAAATTCAGGAGTGAAATAAATGGTGGTGTAAATTACATGCTAGGTGTAAGTTGGTCTTAAAAGATGCAGGAGGGAATAGGAAGTACTTTAACATGCACCAACTAGACATTCAGTAGCTGTGCAAAATGAGTGTAATTTACCACTATGAGTAAAATCCTAGCTTCCCTGACTTCAGTGGGGCCAGGATTTCACCCCATGTGTGTATGGAATAGTAGGAAAAGCAACTAACATAAGTGTGTAAATTAAAGGAGGTCCTTTTGTCTGCACCACCCCTAATATTCCTGCGGCCAAATGCAGCCCTGTTATGAGTACAGCTCCTATTCACTTCAATTGGATTCATGTCCACTTATGCCAGTACTAAATTTGGTTCCCAAAGAAATCCAGAAGAGTGAAAGATACTTGTTTCAAATCCACTGAAAGCCAGAACAGTGCACAGAACACTACTTTGCATTTTATGATTAACTTATTTACTCCATTGCTTGCATCCCCACTGAATCTAGACTCATCTTTATTCTCAATGTTTACTTTTTATGGCAACACTCTCAGTGACCTCAAAGAAATGTAATATAACACAGCTTTGTTTTTATGTTGTTTTCTGATTTGGAGTTCTTATGGTGCAGGTTGCTAATATTTTGCTGAATGGTGTGAAGTATGAGAGTGAGTTGAATGGATCAGGTGAGATGTCTGAGCAATCACTTTCCATGAAACTTCTTTGTTCAACCATCTGCCACATGCCCAAGACTCTGCGTAACCTCTGCATCAACCACTTCCTAGGTAAACTTGCACAGTGTCATGTTGTTTTCACCATGAAAGTAATCATATTTTCCTTCAGAAGAAAATGGTTTAAGAATCAGTTTAGATGAATATTTTAAAGTGTTTGATCTATTGTGGTTGTCTCTTGCTTAGGACTACTGACTAACTGGGTCTTAATTTTCTCCACAGAGGTGACTGATAGTATTCCAAACTCCAGAAAGTCTCTTCTGTTTCTTCTATAACTAGATTATTTTCTGCCAGAAATGAAGGATACATATTTATTTTTAGCAAGAAAATAATTCCTTGTTTATATCGGCACTAAGGAAACCTACCTCTGATTAGGTTGAGTATATGTACTGGGACACACAAGAAACTGAACTAGGAGCAGAATTTATAAATTGAAAATTCTATCATTAAAAATTATTTTACAAATCAGCCTCCTTTGACATTGTCCTCTGGTACTGGACTTCTTATTGAATGAGTGTTTATCTGCTAAGAGGCCTCTAAGGGCATTTCTAGATGAAACTCACTGCGCAGTAAACTGGCGTGTTAATCTTCAGAGCTTCAGTGTGCCATCCACTACCTGTCCGTTCCCTAGGGAACTCTTCATGTGGACCCTGCGCACAGACTGTTAATGTGCAGTATGCTGGAGCTCTGTAGATTTATACCTCAGCTTACCACACAGTGTGTGTTCATTTAGACATGCTGTAAGGATAATGATGGGTGATATTTTCTTTTATTTGTGCCAGGGACACTCTCATGTGAGTCAACACAGGGTTCAATTCTTTTTCTACTCCTGTTCCATGTGTACATGAGGCTCCCTAAGAAAGGTTGTAAGAGACATGGGCTGTGGTGTTTTCAGTATTCTGATGGCAATCAGCTCTACACCTCCATCACCTTCCATCTATTAATGCAGTGGCCAAGTGACTGTCGAAGGCTTGATGGGTCAGGCTCAGTCTAGAGAAGACTGAGTTAATATTAATAAGTTGGCAGAAGGAACCAGATTAACTGTTGCATCAGCATCCTTGAGTGAGGGAGTACAGCCACCATTTGCAACATGCATTCGCTGCTATGGAATTTTATTGAACCAGAGGATGCTGATGGAGTCCCAGGTAGTCGCCATAACTAAAAGCACTTTTCCCATCTGATTTTGGAAAGATCAGTGCAGCCATCTCTCTCAGACCTTGCTACACTAATGGATGTCTTTGTCATCGCAAGACTAGACCACTGTGATGTGCTCTGTGAAAGCTACATCTTGAATCCATTCAGAAACTGAAGCTAGTTCAGAATTCTGTAACCCATTTGTAGTTTCTCTTGCTCTGATCAGTGCTCTGACCAGTGCAGTCTGCCTTTGGTGATTCCAGGTGGTGTTCAAGGGGTAGGTTTTAACCTTTAAAATGCTGACTGACCTTTGATGCAGATTACAGTATAGTATAGAGAGAGAGACAGTGTCTCAGGTAACTCCCATGATAAGGGCAACCTGTGGAGTGTATTATAGAATGTTACACAGTTTGTTTACTGCTGGGACTTCTAAAATATGGAAGAGCATCCAGAGCTTGGAGTGGGAGCTTAAAGATGCCATTCAAATTTAAATAAATAAATATTGCTTCTGGCTTCTTCTAGGTTGGCTTTCGTTTGAGGGAATGTTGCTGTTCTACACAGACTTCATGGGAGAAGTGGTGTTTCAAGGCAATCCTAAAGCCCCTCACAACTCTGATGAATATCAAAAATACAATGCTGGGGTCACCATGGGCTGTTGGGGAATGTGTATCTATGCATTCAGTGCTGCATTCTATTCAGGTACTAAGCAGAGCTTTCTCCCATACTGCTGAGAGAAGAACAAATTGCCTCTGAAAAGCTGCTTCTGCAGTATAGAATGTTGTTTTGGGCTTGGCATTTATATTGCAGATTAGTGTGCTACTTGAAGGTTTTTCTGCCCTAAAATCTTTTTTTTTTTTAATTAGCAGTTCTTGTCTGTCTATATACTATCTCTGTTAGTTAATACTTGTTAGCATTGACAGCACAGACACCCAACAGTCTAGTCACAATAAAAAAGTTGCCATTGTATAGCACTGTTCATAAAGTAATCCATAGCTTCACAAGTCTCTTGTGAGGTAGGTGAACTGAGGTATGGGGGAGTTGCACACTTCATAGCTTGTGTAAGCTGAGCATTTTGCACGCACCAAGGGTTCCTTGCCTCCCTCAATTTTCCCACATAAGCTCCCTGTATGCTACCATCCCACCTGCCTCTATTGCAGAGACTTCCTGTAACTCCCCTGCGGCTGCTAAGGATTCTGTGTGCCCTGCATTCACACACCCACACACCCTATGTACAGGGAGAATTCATCCCTCTGCCCATATGCACAGGGAGCATTCATCCTTCCGCCCATATGCACAGGGACACAGTCCCACATGCAAAGGGGGAAATGTGGCTATGAAATTACTGTAATGTGTGTAATTGAAAAACTGTACTCAGAATAGTTATCAATGGTTTCCTGCCAAACTGGGAGGACATTAATAGTGGGGTTCCACAGAGGTCTGTCCTGGGTCCAGTACTAGTCAATATTTTCATTAATGACTTGGATAATGAAGTGGAGAGTATACTTATCAAGGTGACATCAAGCTGGGAGGAGTTGCAAACAATTTGGAGGACAAGATTAAAATTCAAAATGACCATGACAAATTGGGGAACTGGTCTGAAATCAACAAGATTAAATTCAGTAAAACAAGTGCAAACTACTGCACTTAGGAAAGAAATATCAAATGCACAAATATAAAATTGGGAATAACCGTCTAGACAGGAGTGCTGCAGAAAAGGAACTAGGAGTTATAGTAGGTCACAAGTTTAATATAAGCCAACTGTGTGGTGCAGTTGTGAAATAGGCTAATACAATTGTGGGGTGCATTAACAGGAGTACCTTATGTAAGACTGAGGGGGAACCTAATAATAGTCTTCAAATATGTAAAGAGGATGGTGGTCAATTGTTCTCAATGTCCATTGAAGGTAGAGCAAGAAATGCAATGAATCAGTTAAATCTGCAGCAAGGGAGATTTAGGGTAGATATTAGTAAAACCTTTTTAACTACAAAGGATAGTTAAGTACTGGAATACGTTGCTAAGGAAGGTGTGCAATTCCCATCATTAGAGGTTTTTAAGGACACGTTAGACAAACACCTCTCAGAGATGGTGTAGGTATGCTTGGTTCTGCCTCAGGACAGGGGGGTGGACTAGATGACCTCTTGTGGTCCCTTCCAGCCCTACATTTATACAATTCTATGCATTGGTAGGATAGACAGAGATGAGTTAGGACTACTGTTATGCTGGAAGACATTAATGGGTACCATCAATCAGTTGTTTGATCTAAAACAATTGCTGGGGGGCTTAAAATTATGGCTGTACTAAAGAGCTGGTAGGGCTTCATGTGGCCCCTATTTCCCTCCTTTCAGCTTCCTGATTTTCCCCAAAACCAATAGTGTTCTGGCCATTGATGCCTTGAATGTTTCCTGAAATTGAATAGCTGTAGCGTTCAAAGGTTATTGTGCTACAGACAGACAGACAGACACAAATAGAAATGGTAACAGGTTGAGTGTAATGCTTTTGCAAGCTCAGGCAACCATAGTGCAATTCCTTCACTCACCACTAACAGGTAGCCTCTTCTGGGTAGAATTCTGTTTTTTGGCAAATAGTAACACTGCACAAGTTATGCATACACACTGAGAAGAAAACATACAGTACCCCTAAAATATATTCATTTTTTGTCCACATGACAACTTATTTTGTTCTAGAAGTGGCAGTCCTTCAAAAAATGTGCAGTTCCAAACCCCTATGACTACGAAAGGAGAATTAGAAATTTGTAAAGATTTGCCACTTCTGCATTACCACAGATATACAAGCAAGCAGGAATATAGACTGGTTTCTTTTAATACACTCATGTTTATTATCCTCTTGTCTTGAGTTTAAAAGTCACATATTACATGTTCTCAATTCACCCATGAGAACACATACTTTTAGGGTAAGATTGGCTAATAATATCTAGTACTAATATGGTGTCTTACATGTGCAAAGTGCTTTACATTATTGCAAGACTTGGCAATACTGGCAGATCAGCAGGCTTGAATCAGCCAAGACAATTAATTTTCATACTGTCCTTACTTGGGAGGCAGTGTGATCTAGCGATTTTGCACAGGACTGGAAGACAGGCAACTCTATATTCCAATCCTGGTTCTGCTGCTAATTTACTCTGTAATCTTTGGGCACATCATTTAATCTTGGTGTGTCTCAGTAACCCCTCTGTAAAATGGAGGTAATTATGCTTTCCTACCTAAGACTGTTAGTGAATGATCTTTCATATTTCCTATGGGATATGCTGGATATCCTTTTCTCACAATCAGTAGTATGTTACACCACATGTAATATCATTTAAATCAATGGGACTATTTGGTGTAGACTACTAATTGATATGAGTCACAGGGCACAGCTCTCTCACCACTCTTGACACAGTACTATGTCACAGTTTCCTTTCCTGTGCCCAGAGCTATTCAGCCATTGCACAATAGGCGATTCAGTTAATGTTTCCCCTCTTGGGGTTTGCTTTGTTTAGCCCAAACAAACATTTTTACTGGCCCACCCACAGCACAATCAGTCCTTCCCTAGCTAGCAGGGTTTCACAAATCAGTCCATCTGCCCATCCCAAGGCTCCCACTGTCCTCCTAGCCCTCAGAAAATCTCCCAGCATTTCCTGTTCTTTCTAGGGTTCTCTCGCAGACTTTCCACCTGGCCATGGGGAGAACTCCCCTCCAGATCATATCCTAACCTTGAATCTCACCTAAACTAAGACTAGGCAACCCCCCCTTTTTAAAAAGCAGGTGAACTTCAATCTGTATTCATCTGATCATAGGCCTGTGATCTCACCTTGTTTACATGCTTCCTATGGTCTAGTTTTCATCTACCATTTCTGTCCCATGCATCAGGGGAAAACCAGGCACAGGTGGTGCTGTGTCCATACTCCCTTAAAGGGGCCTTCCCACCCTGTGACATTGAGTAAGGGTAATCTAGCCCTATAAATTACTTACCATGTGAAATATGTATACTTTTTGGTTACTCACATGCTTGGAAAGCCAAGCACACTTTGGGACAGCTTTCCTATATGCTCAGTCCCATTAAATACGAGAATTGATCTGTACATCACTTATTACAAGTAGAAATAGTCCAACATAGCACATTTCAAATTAAGTGCTATTCATGATACTAATTCCTCTCAAATAATCTCTTAAAGCCCAATTCTGCCAACCTTTTTCAAACTGAGGAGTGACAGCACCTAACCCCACAAGAAGTGCCACTGATTTCAACAGGACTACTTGCAAAGCAAGGCATTACTCAGCATGAAGAAAGATGGTGGAATCTGGCCCTTATTTATCAATCATTTCTCCACTAAAGATCTTACATTTCATTCATAGTCCTGTTAAAGTTGTATCCATAAACCACAGATTAATAATAGACAGGGTTCAGAAAACATCGGGATATACACCTTAAAAGCCTTAATGTGGGTAAAGGAAAGATAGACAGGCCATTCTTCAGTTCATAATTACCTTCTTAACATGCTCTGTGTGAAAGGTCTTATTCTGCGTGACTTGAAAAGCTGACAGTACCAGGAGCTGACCACTCCAGCCTTATACAGTATCACATATGCTAACTTTACAAGTATTTGCATTAAAGTAGACTTCAAAACAATTGGCAAAAATAAAAATTGACATCAGATTAAGAAAAAGAAATATAATATCTCACAAATTCCCTTTATTGTTTGTGGAAAGTTATTTCCCATAATTAAATAAACCAATAATTCTAATGCTTTGAGAAGGTTAAAGACCAGGGCAACTGGGATGTAATCACAACAGAAGGTTAAAAAAATAAACAGCATCTGTTTATATATTTCTGTGCAATTTATTCTCTTAAATTCTATTTTACAGCCGCACTAGAAAAACTGGAAGAATACTTCAGTATTCGCACCCTGTATTTCATAGCATACCTTGCTTTTGGACTTGGTACAGGCCTGGCTACACTCTCCAGAAATATCTATGTGATTTTATCTCTATGCATAACTTATGGTATTCTGTTTTCAACACTCTGCACACTCCCTTATTCTCTGTTGTGTGATTACTACCAGAGTAAAAAGGTACGTTTCCTACTACTACATGTTTTTAAATCATAAAGTGCAGAAGTTTCTACAGTACCCACAGCTAAGACAACCTTCTGCCAAGACAGATCATGTTAAACTAGAAATTTTCACTCCTTTTCTTTTTCTGCTGCACATACAATCAGTTAGAATTAACTTGTTTTAAAAATCTCTTTCTACTATGTGGCCAGACATGGCTAGAAAGGGAACTGAATCTTCTTCATCTCTATTGATTTTCCTTTGCCCTTCTCCCCTTCCCAGCCTCTTTATTGCTTACTTCTTTTTCCTTCTCCCTTTCCCTCTGCTGCATATTGCTGAGAAGCTGAAGATTTATTTTAAGTTATTTTTCATAGCTCAGTCTGTGCTGGCCAGGACACTATTAATGCTCCTTTACTGGTGTTTGGCAGAATCTGATCAGGTAGCATAAGAACATAAGAACAGCCATACTGGGTCAGACCAGTGGTCCATCTAGCCCTGTGTCCTGTCTTCCGACAGTGGCCGATGCCAGATGCTGCAGAGGGAATGAACAGAACAGGGCAATCATTGAGTGATCCATCCCCTGTTGTCCAGTCCCAGTTTCTGGCAGTCAGAGAATTTGGGACACCCAGAGCATGGGGTTGCATCCATGACCATCTTGGCTAGCAACCGTTGATGGATCTATCCTCCATGAACTTATCTAATACTTTTTTAACCCAGTTATACTTTTGGCCTTCAGAACATTGCTTGGCACTGAGTTCCACAGGTTATTGATTAGTTGTGTGAAGTACTTCCTTATGTTTGTTTTAAACCTGCTGCCTATTAATTTCATTGGGTAACCCTGGTTCTTGTGTTATGTGAAGGGGTAAATAACACTTCCTTATTCATTTTCTCCTCACCACTTATGATTTTATAGACCTCTATCATATCCCCGCCTTAGTTGTCTCTTTTCTATGCTGAACAGTCCCAGACTTTTTTAATCTCTCCTCTTATGAAAACTGTTCTATACCCCTAATAATTTTGGTTGCCCTTCTCAGTACTTTTTCCAGTTATAATACATCTTTTTGGGGATGGGGCAACCAGAACTGCATACAGTATTCAAGGTGTGGGCATACCATGGATTTATATAGTGGCATTAAGATATTTTCTGTCTTATTAGTTAGCCCTTTCCTAACGGTTCCTAATACTGTTAGATTTTTTGACTGCCACTGCACATTGAGCAGATGTTTTCAAAGAACTATCCATGATGACTTCAAGATCTCTCTGGAGCAGTAACAGCTAATTTAGATCCCATCATTTTGTATGTATAGTTGGATTATTTTTCTAATATGCATTCATTAGTTATCAACACTGAATTTCCAAAGCCACACTGAGCACAACGGAATGGATGAGCTAGAAATACCACAAGCAGTCAAGAGTGAGGGTGGGATCAAAAAAATTACATATGCATCTAAATCCTGTTTTTAGGTGCCTGAGTCCCCTTTTTAGAATCACAGAATATTAGGGTTGCAAGAGACCTCAGGAGGTCAACTAGTCCAACCCCCTGCTCAAGGCAGGACCAACACCAACTAAATCATCCCAGCCAGAGCTTTGTCAAGCTGGGCCTTAAAAACCTCTAAGGATGGAGATTCCACCACAATTTAGGCACAATTGCGATTCACAACCTCCTACTCAGCTGCCGCCTAAGTTTGTAGGTACCTAAACTTGCTTTTTACTAAACTTTACGGTTAACAATTTGCGTGTTTTGCTCTGGTTTGCCAGACTACTCTCTCTCTTTCTCAGATGGTTTTCTTTCCCTTTGAACAGTTCGCAGGATCGACTATCGATGGTACCAAGAGGGGGATGGGCGTGGATATCTCTCTCCTGAGCTGCCAGTATTTCCTAGCTCAGCTTCTCGTTTCTGTCGTGATGGGACCCATCACTTCCATGGTGGGCAGCGCTAACGGGGTGATGTATTTTGCCAGCCTCGTGTCTTTCATTGGCTGTTTGTTTTCCTCCCTGTGTGTCATATACGAGATCCCAGCCAACGAGGAGCTGGCGGAGGAACAGCAGCCGCTGGTGCTGAGCGCGTGAAGGGCGGGATCCGCCCGCGGCGAGGGGCCGGGGCCGGGCGGGGAAGAGGCACTAATCGTGCGAGACACGTTACAATAAAAGCAACTCAGACGAACGGTGCTTGTGCCTCCGTATCCCTCCAGGCGGCAGGCAGGGCCGGCTCCAGGCACCCAAGCACGTGCTTGGGGCGGCACCT